TGGAGCGACGTCCCTCAGCGGAGCCGACTTATAACAGTTCCGATGTTTTGCTCCGCGACTCTATCACGTGCCAGAAGCGGCCGGCGGAGGCCCCTCCCCCGCCGTCTCTCCTCCCGAATATCGCCTCAGATTCACTTCTCTGCACGTCCTACCTTCCAGTAAGTGGTCGCTTCTCTGTTCAGAGAGTTGTTGCTACTCTCCTCTTCGACCTCCTGTTGACTTCGTAGGTGTTCAGAATGGTTTGATCCCTATTCAGCTGAATTCCTGAGATCAGACGAAATCTAGGTCTCTTACTCCTCCGCCATCTTGCTCCGCCTCCGCCACGGTCAGTCTTTTTTATCGAAAATTGACCAGGGAACTTGGTAAATATCTCATCTATAACATTTAAGACAAACAAAGTGAATTTGTAGCTATCATGTGAATATCTCATCTGTATTTGGGACAAACAAGGTGGATTCCTTACTTCCCTTCTCCCTGGTTAATATCTTGTCTATAACATTTCTCTGCATCTGGGATTTCTGTGAGCCTGGTTAATTAGCTCTGCAGGAGCCTAGTCAGGGCATTCCGGAGCCTCCTACCTCTCCCTGCCTATACCTTATCCCTTTCCTTACTCAGGGGGAATGCAAACTGGTGGAGCCACTCTGCAAAACGATGTAGATTCCCCACAAAGTTAAAAAATAGGGATGCCTGGGTGGCTCAGTCAGTTAAGCATCTGCCTTTGGCTCAGGATCCTGGGATCCAGTCCCACATCAGGCTCCTTGCCCAGCGGGGATCCTGCTACTCACTCTCCCTCCACCCCTCCCCCTCCTTGTGTGTGAGTTCTCTCTCTCTCTCAAATAAATAAACTTTTTTTTAAAGTTAAAAATAGAACTGACCTAGACCCAGCAACTGCGCTATTAGATATTTACCAAAAGAATACAGAAATATTAATTCAAAGAGATATATGCACCTTAATGTTTTTAGCAGCATTATTCACAATAACCAAACTATGGAAACAGCTCAAGTGTCCATCAATAGATGAATGAATAAAGAAGATGTGGTATATATAGTACAATGGAGTATTTCTCATTCATAAAACAAAATGAAATCTTGCCATTTGCAATGACACAGTGGAACTAGAGAGTATTATGCTAAGCGAAATAAGTCAGAGAAAAACAAATACCATATGATTTCACTCATATGTGGAATTTAAGAAACTAAACAAATGAGCAAAGGGGGAGAAAAAAAAGAGAGAGAGACAAACCAAGAAATAGACTCTTAACTACAGACAACACACTGATGGTTACCAGAGGGGATGTGGTGGGAGGATGGAGGAAATAGGTGACGGAAATTGGGGAGGGGACATGTGATGATCACCACGTGTTGTATGGAGTACTGAATCACCATACTGTACACACGAAATGAATATTAAACTGGAGGTTAACTAACTGGAATTTAAATAAAAACTTAAAAAATAAAAAAATGAATAAAGTACATAAATGAAGCCCATTTGCTTGAAAATTATTATCTTATTTTTTTTCTTCCCCTGTAGGCACCACCACCACATGGAATCAGACAATGATACACAAATTTCAGAGTTTCTTCTTCTGGGATTATCAGAGGACCCAGAACTGCAGCCCCTCATATTTGGGCTTTTCCTCTCCATGTACCTGATCACTGTGTGTGGAAGCCTACTCATCATCCTGGCCATCAGCTCAGACTCCCACCTCCACACCCCCATGTACTTCTTCCTCGCCAACCTGTCATTTGCAGACATCTGTTTCACCTCCACCACCGTCCCCAAGATGCTGTGGAACATCCAGACTCAGAGCCAAGTCATCACCTATGCCGGCTGCGTCTCACAGATGTACTTTGTCCTACTTTTTGCAGGCTGGGATGATTTTCTCCTGACTGTGATGGCTTATGACCGCTTCGTGGCCATCTGTCACCCCCTGCACTACACGGTCATCATGAACCCCTGGCTTTGTGGACTGCTGGTTCTGGTGTCCTGGGTCATCAGTGTCCTGAATTCCTTGTTACAGAGCTTAATGGTGTTGCGGCTGTCCTTCTGTACAGAGGTAGAAATTCCCCACTTTTTCTGTGAACTCAATCAGGTGGTTGGGCAGGCCTGTTCTGACATGTTTCTTAACAACATGGTGATGTATTTTGCAACTGTGCTGCTGGGTCTTGCTCCCCTGCCTGGGATCCTTTACTCTTACTTTAAGATTGTTTCCTCCATATGTCAGATATCATCAATTCAGGGCAAGTATAAAGCTTTTTCCACCTGTGCATCTCACCTCTCCATGGTCTCCTTATTTTATTGTACAGGCTTAGGAGTGTACCTTAGCTCTGCTGCTCCCCAGAGCTCCCACTCAGGTGCAGTAGCCTCGGTGATGTACACAGTGGTCACGCCCATGCTGAACCCCTTCATCTACAGCCTGAGGAACAGAGACATAAAGAGGGCTCTGAAAAGAATTGTTGGGATTCCAGTAATTTAAGGGTCAGTAATCTCGGGGTTGAAGAAGTGCCCATGATTGCAGGGCTCAGAGCCTCAGAGTCAGGAACTGCCATTCTTTGATCAGACTATGGAGGTAGAATTGACTCCTTCTATTTACTTCCTGGAATTTCCATTAGTTTGAATTCAACTTTTCCATACATTTAAGTAACTCACTTTATTAACCTTCTATTCTGTCTGATACACAGACAAGTTTCACTTTGTCTACCTTCATATATTCCTAATGATTTCCCCAACCTTGAATCACAAATGCCTGGAAATTTCTGTATCTTACAAGGGGCAAGTTGGATTTCTTCAAACTAATTTCATTTCAAGTAAATTTTCCCTAGATTTCCCCAAAGAATAATCATGGGTTGTATTCTTCATATGGAAGATACTACCTTGGCCACTAAGCCCTTCATATAACCTTATTGTGGAGGAGAATACAAAACCACAGTTCTCACCCTGAGTCTGTTAGTCTTTTTACACATATACCCTTACTCCTCTTCCTGAAAATGTGGTCTCTAACATTGTTCTGTTTAAGTCTCGGGCTACTGACAGGGATGCTTAGGCTAGGAAAGCCCAGACATTCCCCTGCACCCCTGTGCTTGTAAACATTCCCATAAATGCTTCCCTGACCAGAGTTTCTGCTGTGGCTGCACCAGCCCCTTGGTTCTTATTGTGACTGTAACACACACCTCAGCAACATCCATCAAAGAACTCTAAAAAACCAAGGTTTATTCCTCACAGGTGCTGGAGGGCACATGGAAAAACCAAAGGCCATTTGGGGAGGTCTCAGAGGAGGAGAGAGGCATTGACAGGGAGAAAGAGAGAGCATCACTGAGGGATTTGTCTTTATTAAGGTTCATGACCAGAGTATATAGGGGTTTGCGGGTTCATGCTTTATTAGAGAATCTTATATGATTAGAATTTGGGTGCTGAATGGGGAAAAGCAGGGTCACTCATGTGTCAGTATGAAGGCTACCAGGGCTTTCTGAAGAGGTATTTCATGGCTGGGGGCAGCCTGAGGGCTTATCTGGTAATAGTGTTCCACAATTGTGTTTATTCAACATGGTTGTCCTTGAATTGCATACCTAAGAAATCAAAAGCTTAATTTCAGGTACTTACTCTACAAACATGCTCCTGTGTTTCCTAACCAGTATCCTCCTTTTTTTCCCCAGAGGTAGAAATTACTTATTCATCAGTTGTATATAACACCCAGTGCTCATCCCATCCAGTGCCCTCCTTAATGCCCATCACCCAGTTACTCCATTACCCCACCCACCTCCCCTCCAGCACCCCTCAGTTTGTTTCCTAGAGTCAGCGTCTCTTATGGTTTGCCTCCCTCTCAATTTTCATCCTATGCTATTGTTACTGTAATTCAGCTCAATATACGGAATTCCTACCATAGCCACAGGCAAACACTGATTAGCAAGAATATCTCTTCCAGTGCAGTCTACATAGAAAGACAAATTAGAATAAATAAATTGACCTTATATTTTCTTAGTGTCAGGATGACCATAAGTATGATGAAGCAAAATTTCAAAACACTCATTTTGTTACTAGGCAAAATATTTTTCTTTTTTTTTTCTTTTTTTTACATCACAGCTCATGCTGTGCATCTATTTATTGGAGCATGAAAGATTGATGTCCACAACTGAGGAGGTTTATTCACTGAGGTGAAGTGTTGGTTAGAGTTTTCTATGTTTTATCACCCATTATCTCCCTATTTCTACTAGAAAACATCCAATGCTACCTGCTAATATGGCTCTTTCTATTGTTACACAAAATAATTCCCTTTTCCTAATATTTGTCACAAATGCTAAGGGATAGTGAATGAATAGTATCAACATCATTCATTTTGTACCTTCTTCCTCCTCAGAAATCTCTCCCACCTGCATGACCAGAGGATGCTTCACAGATAAGCTGAATGTCCTGCTGGTCATGTGGTTCAGGATCACCATTTCTTCTGCACCAATATGCATGTCCTTCAAACTGTCCCAGTGACCCAGAAGGAAGCCCACATATAGTCAGCTGGTCCTAACGTCATCAGAAATAAACTTGAATAACAGAAAGATC